AACTGCAGAACTGATTAAACAACTTTCCTTTCCCCTTTCGCCTCGGTAGATGTTAAATTACCCACTTTCACATACACGCACACAAACTCACACACCCAGGGGATATCGCTCAACAAGCCACTGACACAACTGGAGGGTACAAAAATGAGGCGCGAACGCCTTCTTTGCCACTTCTTTATCCACCGTAAATCTGAATTACTAATGCTGATGATTGTTGAAGAGTGAAAAAAACCAGTAGGTCTAGGGCAGAGGGCAGGCTGAGGCATCTGATAAAGCTGAACAACATCTATCACACACTGCATACATAGAGAGAAAAAAAGTGAGACCTCGAATGGGAAGGGGGAGAGATGAGGCGATGATTAGTGAGAAAATGCAAAAATATACAAATCCTAAAAGGAAAAGAGGGAGGAAGGGAGGAGAGAGGGAGAGGTGATGACACATCTAAGGCCCCTGCTGTATCTGCATACGAGGCGTGCAAAGGAGGAGAGGAGGATGTGCTTGAGCGCATACACAACTCGACTATACAATATCCTCGGGGGCGTTGTGATTGGCACTATTGCTCTCGGTGGGAATTTTACGGGGTAGTGATTTTTCGGTCTCCACGGCTACCGTTTCGGGGGTTTCGGTGGTCTCACATGGACACCGTCGGGAGTCAGTGTATGAGGGACAGATTTGCAAGTGATGGAGAATGTTGGGACTAATTTTGTGTCGTGAGGTGCTCTTATCTCCCGGGTAGTACTTCACGCCAAATGTTCGACCCTCTGACTTTGATCCTTCGTTAAAACCGTAGGACTTTGATTTTTCACCCAGATAACAATAATTGCAGGAGCAGGCAGCATGTTTGGGACAAAGACGAGCGGGTGTTGTGGAGGATAGAGGAAGTACAGAAAGAGACGGAGCAACGGTAGCACGACCAATGAATCCCATCCAAAGTTCATTAGTCAATTCACTGGCCAGAAGGTCACCACTGTTGGCACCGATTAGGCGAATAAGGAAGAAGGCGTCTGCGGTGAGGTACTCCTCCACAAACTGTCGCGTTCTTTGACGATCACGCGGATCCAGGATGGGGGGCAAGGCGCTCACTACTTTGAGGTAATGTCGCACAAATTTGAGCCTCGAACGACGCCAAAAGAGGCGTCGCAGCCAACCGAAGAGAGAGGCTATGGTTATGACTGTGAGCATGATGTGCCAGAACCACAGAAAGATGTAAATCTTCTCAAGGAACATGTTGATTGGGAGAACGCACTGGATGGTGTACCTGAAAGTGGAACAAAGGAAAGGGCTTGTGATTTTGTCTGCTCGAGTTCGAGGTTCCCGGGGAGGAGTGCTGAGGAGCTACGCTTCACAATGTGGCTTAAAAACTTATTTACAAGGGATCATCCCTTGATCGATGCTTGCAGAGGTTTGAAGATGGGAGAAATTTCGCTCCCTGAACGTTTTATCTCCGATTATTGTCTTTCCACGGGGACTTCAACCAATTTTCCTGTCTCGCACTTCGATCGTGATGAAGGCGAATGAAAACACGAGTCATTGGGCAATTCTCTTGACTTCTTTCAGAAGTGGGAGTAGATTGCCCGGTTTTTTAGGGCTTTAATCCCAAGCCAGTCCAAGGGGACATCGTAAATATTGCTAAAACCTGAGTGAGTGGTTTCATCCTCTTAGTACTAGGCGAAGACAATTTGAGTTTCCTCCCGTTGAAGGACCGCGTGGTGGAGTTGATGAAATTAAGCGTAACTGTCAAGACGAATACAGAAAGTCTGGAAGGATAACAAGCGAATGAAGCCTTCCTTTCACAATCTAAAATGGACTAGTGCCTTCGATTTCCTTCAGGTCTTCTCGTCCAGCAACTGAAGCTCGTACAGTTGCCATTCGATTCATGAGTCAAAGTCGGTGCTTCTTCTCCAGGTGGCAGTGCTTCAAATCGTAGCTTCAAATCGCGCCAAAAAGAGGTTTTGGAATCCACAAAAAAAAAAAGAATGACACTTTGAAAGGACAAAGAGGTTAACCTCCTCCACTGACCTTCTCCGATAATTGTTCCACAATGAATGTCACCTTTAAGGCAGTTGACAACCACCCAAGTTGAAATCATTCTTGGACGGAGATAAATGGTTTGCTACTGGCAAACAGAACACACAACTAGTTTATGTCTTGTTGACAAAGTCTTCAGAATTCCTGCATTTCAACGCCTTTCTCAACAGGCAGTGAGCACTGACTTGTGCCTGTGTTAAAGTTGCCGTGCCTAAACTTCTCCAACACTGTAGCGCTGGATTTTGGATTTGGGAAATGAGGGTGTGGATGAGATCTTCAACCCACCCATCACTTCTTCTAGGATCAAGAAGAATAGCAGAAATGTGAACAAGCTGGCGTGAGCCTGTCAAGGTCAAAGTCATCCTCAGGTCTCCAACAGCCTCATGGCTAAATACCTCACTGTGGTCCGGCTCCTCTTGAAGTAGACTCAGAAGAGGTGGCAAATCCATCCAAAGGCTATGATTCGTGCGATGGCAAAAGGCAGTGGTTCGATCTCATATGAATAAGTGAAGAAAAATTTGTACACCTTTTAACTACATAAGGGACGTTTTGTAGCCACTTTACGTCAGCACTGGCATTATGGCGGGCGACAAGTCGGCTCAACTCGCCCATCAGTTTCAGTATCAACTGAATTATCGAGCTTTTAGGATTCTACTGGGTTGAAACGACCAGAGGTATGTTGAGATGGCATTCACCACGCTCACCACTGGAACTTCTTAGGGCCCTGTCAGGATAGGACCGCAGTGGAGCGCTATGACGTGGAATGAAGTGGTCAGGCGCGTCAGAAATGTTGCACTCCTTCAGGCGCTGACACCATACCTTCGCTGCGGATGACACGATACAAGTGAGGATCTGCTGCGGTTCTAAACACAGCTTAAAGTGCTCCATCTGGATGATTAGAAGCACGAGGTTAAAAGTAAGGTTATTACAGAAGGTAAACTAACACGTGATTTTTTCCGAGTTTTTTGGCTTCCATATCACAGAAGGTCACACGAGGAAAGTGACCCGATTGTTGCCAATCTCGACCACGCACAAGATCAGCCAACACCGCAGCGCCGTAGAAGGTGACTCGTGCACCAACAAAACGCTCCATCAGGTAGATCTGACCCACCGCATTCACCACGTAGAGGCACTTTACAAGGCAGTAGAGAGTGGTGAGAAATTTTCCACTCTCTCGACTACAGCAACTCTGAAATGTGCGTGGATGTTGTCGACGCCATCGGTAATGTCTGCCACCATGACAACGAGAAAGGAGCCACCGACAAACGGACCAGGTGCCGGTTTGCTTCTTCTTTGCTGCTACCACCTTTTTGCTGTGCTTTTCTACAAATTACAAAAAAAAATTTTATTTAGTCGTAAACAAAAAGAACTCAAGTCAACACAACACCTTCCTTTTTGACATCCACGCAGACTTGGACTTCCACATCCGTCACCCCGTTTAAATAGGTGCTGAATTTTAAGTTGCGGGGAAACAAACACCCAAACATCCTCGCCTTGAGACTGTAAGGCGTCCTCAAGGTGAGGATTTCATTTGATTTATGCGCATCCACAATT